GGTGGCTAGATTCAATTGATTGGCTTGATGTAATCATGTTTTGTATAGATGTTGACCGACACTTAGGTTTATTTTACTATCAGTACTATATTTTGCATATAACTAGTGTGTACATGATATTAGTTATTGATTGGAATATAAACTTTGTTTCTAATGCATGTTGTCTAACCTTCCATTACACAGTAATTATTCAATAGATAATGTAGTAACCTGTTGGATCGTTGCATTCTATACTAAAAATAAAGTATTTTTTAGTGGAGAAACTCTCAAAAACACTTTGAAACTTGTATTCAAACATGTTCTTAATCTTAATCATTCATTTTAATCCTATGATGCACATTAGTTCAACCAAACATTCTCTAATTTTTCCCAAATTAAGATGTTTTGTGTCTCTTTCCTCTCATTATGCTGATCTTTTTGTTAATTTTATTTAAAAAATTTACAATATTTACTCAAAGTTATCAATGATAATTATTACATTTTAATCTCTTAAATATTTATCAAAAACTATTATTTACTTTTGTTATTAAAAATCAATTAAAATTATAAGAATTTTTAAAAATTAACATTAATGATACATTAATATTAAATACTAATTCATCAAATATAATACATATTAAACTTAAATAATACAATTAAGTATTACATTCATTAACTACAATATATTTCATTGATGTATGGATTTTTGTGCTAATATTTATTTAAAAATTTATTATTATAAAAATTATTATTTCACAAATTTCATATCTTAAAATACATATGAAATTTTTTAATCATTTTCTTATCATTTCGAATAAATCATTTTTATAAGCATATTTTTAAATAAAAATATATAATACATATAAGTTAATGAATATATATATATATATATATATATATAATGAATTTTCTTTTTTATTTATATTTTTAATGCATATTTAATTGGTGTATGAATTTTTATGCTAATGTATATTTACAAACTTATTATTAAAAAAAAAAGTAATTTTTACAAATTTCATATCTTAAAATACATATTAAAATTTTTAATTAATTTCATAATTATTTAACATAAATTAAAATTTTTAGCATATTTTAGAATTAAAATATATAAATTAATAATATATAATAATTTTTTTTATATTTAATTTTTTTTATATTTTAATATTTTTTTTAAATAAATAACTATAAATTAATCCATATTCAATTTGAATATATTTTTAAAAATTACAGTTTTAATTATTATACTTCATAAAAAAATAAAGTAATAAAATCCTTATTCTTAATATTATTATTAAAATTATTTCAATTTTTATATGTTAATAATTTAATCTAAACATTCTTTACTCATTACACTTTTATTTTATGCATTTAATTGAAGTAATTTAATTTTTTTACTTCGAATAATAAAATGAAAAATCAAAATCAGACTTTAAAATCCATCATAAATTATATTGAATGTATTTTTAGATCTAAATAAAAAAAAAAACTTTAACTTTGTTTTCTTTTTTGTTATTATTATTATTTTTTTATTTTATATATATATATATATATATATATTTTTTAACTTTATCATTTTAAGTATTAACCCTGAGCTTTTACACCGTGATTAATACGGAGTCAATACAAGATTTATTGCAAGCTAGAATTACTTTAATTTTTTTTTTCCAAAAATTGAAAAATAAACAATAATAATTTCTTAAAAACAATTTAACAAAATATACAGTAAGTAAATCGCTTAAGGAATCATTATGTGGTTTTATTTATTCACAATACTACAGAGATTACGACTCATATTTAGTTTTATTACAATTAATTTAGATTCACAATAAATTAAATTTTGTCATCACAACATGTTTGAAAATTAACTTGTAAATATTTATAAATTACTTAATTTTGATGAATTTCATATTATATTGAATTCACAAAGGAGTAGAATTTTCTAAAATAGGTAAAATTAATAATTTTAATAATTAATTAACATAAATAATAAGTACCAAATCATTGGTTGAGTGATACTAAACTTATTTTTTTAGGAAAGTCTTAGATTTTAGTCTTATAAATGAAAAAAAGAAAAATATTTGATAGGAGAGACATCACTAAAGGCGACCGTCAACCAATCAATCATTTTTTCTAATAGAAATTAGTTATTAACAAAATTAGTGCATATTTCACAATAATATTATTATTATAAAAAAAAGTAATATAAATAATATTTTAAAATATTATTAAATCATAGCATTTTCCTCGTTTCAAAATTAAGTTAAAAAATAAAAATGTTAAATACTAACCTTAAATGAATACGGATTAAAATCATAAAATTAAAATTTAATTAATGTATTAAATTTAGGTTAATATATAATTTTAGTCCCTATAATTTCACTTTATCTTTTAGTAGTTATAATTTAAAATAAATATTTTTGCTTCTTATATTTACCATTTTTTAAAAATCTTTTCTAAGTTCTTATAATTTAAGATAGATATTTTTAGTCACTAAACTTATCTTTTCAAATTCTATCTAGTCCTTGACTTTAATTTTTTCTTTTTGTAACTTGTCTTTTTTGTGGTAATGTGATATAGGTATTCAACTTTGTATTTTTTATGTTAAATTTATTTTGTCAAAATTATCCTAAATTTGGTTGTCTCTTAATATTTTGTGTCTCTTTTATATGTATAATGTTGCTTGTGAAAAACCTAGACAAAGGGTATCTTAATAATGAACATCATAGGTGAAGACAAAAAATGTACGGAGTGCCGAGAAACCTATATTTTAGGATAAGTTTAACAAAAATAAATTCGATATCAGAAACACAAAATTTTAAAATTTTGTCATGTCAACACAAAAGAAATTGCATTACAAAGAAATTACAGACAAGGATCGAAAAACATTTACAAAAGTAACTATAGGGATTAAAAATATATATCTTATACTATAGGATCTTAAAGTGATTAAAAAAGGTAAATATACAAACTAGAAATACATTTTAACTTTAAGTTTAATGAATAATTATATTTTTAAACAATAAAAATATTTAATAGTTAAACTATGATTAAATCATAACATTTTTCTCATTTGAAAATTAAATCATAAAATGACAAATATTAAATATCAGCCTTTTTTTTATACACCATATATATGCTATTAAAATAAAAAGTAGATCATATGTATCTTTTATGGAAGACAACCTAGTTTGAACATGGTAAGATTATTGTGAATGACAAAACTCTCATCGTAAGTATTTAATATAATAGGTAAAATATGTTTTTAGTCCCTTTAAAAGTTTGCAAGTTTAATTTTAATTTCTCTAAATTTTTGTCTTATTTTAGTCCCTCTAATTTTCAAATGCACTACCTTTGATTCTTAAAGTAGTTTAAATAGTATTTTATAACTATTTTTAAGTGTTTTAATGTATTATAAAAGTTAGCAAATTTACAATATACAGTCTTTTGTAATTATTAGAAGACAATATAAAATTAGTAGAAAACTATTTTTAAGTGTTACCTAATGTATGTGGATCACTAAAAGTAATATATTTTCAAAATTGAGGAACTAAAATAGGATAAATACATATAGAGGGACTAAAAATGAATTTTAATAGTTTTAGAGAGACTAAAAACATATTTTATATTAATATCATTGTGTATCTTATGAATCAAACTCAAGACCATTGTTTAAACTAGAACAATCTCCAACCATCTGTTACTCATCAATATCTTAAATACTAACTTTAAATGAATGTCAAATAATATCATAAAATTAAAAAGTATTTAATATATTAAATTTGATGAATACTTATATCTTTTAATAATGGAAATATTTAATACAATACATTTAATATCCATTAATTATTTTTTATTTAATATTAATTACTTAGATTTTTAATAAAATTCTATTAGAGAAAAAAATGACACACACTGATTTTATCAAATCTTTTCAATAAAAGTTTGTTAACTTTGATAATAATTATTTAACTTAAAAATATATTTAATCCTTATCAAATATATGAATTTTGACTTTTTTTTTTTAATTTTTTTCATCGCTCTAAAATTAAAAATCATTGTTTTGGTTCTTACTATTGCATGTCATCCCTTAACTACTTATATGTTGAGCAAAATATTAAGGGACTATATTATGTTATTGTGTATAGTATTTTACTAGCATGTAACACTTCTATGCATTTTTTTAGATACCTAAATTAGGTATTATTTATATATCCTAAAATAAATATTAGCAACCAAAATTAGTGATTTTATATTTTAAAAAAATAAAAATTAAACAAAAATATTTTACAAGAATCAAAACTATTTTTTTTATAAAACCAAAACAATAATTTTAAAATTTAGAGAATGAAAAATAAATATTTTTTATAAGTACCATACTCCAAACACCTTCAATTTATAATAATTTAAAATTAATTTTTTAAAAAATAAAAAATAATTTTTAATTAATTGACGTATAATATTTTATATTTTAAATCTATATTTATTAAATCCAATTTTTATAAGATAAAATACTATAAATATTTTAGTATTATCCTTTAATTACAATTTAAAGTTTACTTCAATAATAATAAAGATCAATATTAATTATATAAATAATGCTATAAGTTTAATTAGAATATGAAATTAAGTTTTACAGATTAAAAAATATTTATCATTCGGATATATATCTCAATTACAATTTTTTTTTATTAATATTACTGATTTTTAAGTCATCAATAAAATAATAATTTTACATAGTTATATACATAATACTATTTTATATTTATCTCTTTTCATTGATCCACTTATTACATAGAAAAATATTATTAATAATAAAAAGATAAAACAATGTTGTTTACATTATTATTCTACATGTAATATTATTTTATTAAAAATATAAACAAAAATATTACAGTACTGTTCTTTTACATAAACTTTCTTTTAGCACTGTGTCATAGGAGACAGGCACAGTAACTTTATTTTATTACAGCACGTGTTCCCATGGTACGACACAGAATATGGCAAATATATTAACCATTCCTCTGCACACGCTCTTAAGCACACTTCTTGCTACTCAAAAGCTCAGTTCAATTTTCCTCCTCTTTTTCATTTTCAGCTTCGTTTATCTATTTTCCTGTTTGTTTCAAGCTTCAATAATCTAGCACCCCACAAGGTAACACCTTCAAATTCTTCTTTTCATGCAAAATTATTCTCTCTCTCTAGGATCCTGTACTTGTCCTGATCCCTTACAAATTGTGGGGTATGTGTATTTTCAGTAAAATTCTAGCTTGATCTTGTATTCCTTGTGGGTTTCTCTAAACATAAATTTTTTTTTCTAGATCTTCATGGTTGCATGGCTCTTTTGTGCTCTTCTGCAGAAAATGATGAAACTTTTCAAGTTGGGTTTTGAAATGAAGTAGTGACTTTGTTAATTTTGTGTAAATTGGACTAAAGGGAAAGAGAAACGAAAGGCTAAGATGGCTTTTGTTTGAGAGTGGAAAGGGGGAAAATTTGTTAGCAAAAATAGAGAAAAAGGAAGTTTGTTTAAGCTAAGTGAAGGTCTGGTTAATTTTCTGAAAGGTTGATTGAAAGGGTTTGTGTAATGGAAGAAGGGTTAGGGCAAAACTCAGTTCCTCCACAAGGCCCAATTGACAAGTCCAGGATTCTGGATGTTAAACCTTTAAGGAGTTTGATTCCTATTTTCTCAATGGCTTCTCAAGCTTCACCCTCTGCCCAGTATCCATCTGGGTTTTCCCCATTTTTCCCATTTGGTGCACCTCAGCAAACTCCAACAGGGGGCACAACAGGGGGTGCTGCCACACCTACTCCAATAAGGGCATATAGAAGCCCCCTAGGGGCAGGAGACACTGGTTCAACAATGGAGGGGTTCACTGATCAAGATACTTATGGGAAGAAAAAACGTGGATCGCCACAACCGCGCCGTGCCGCCAAATCATCTGTGGATAAGCCTAAGAAAAGTCAAGAGCCACCTGTTGATTTGGGTGATTTGGTTGGTATTAGCCCTGCCCAACGAGATGATGGTAGCCGTGAAGTGGTTAATCTTGTGCTCATGTCATTTGATGCGCTTCGAAGAAGGCTATGCCAGCTTGAAGAGGCCAAGGAATTGAGCTCGGGTTCAATCAAGCGTGCAGATTTGAAAGCTTGCAATACTTTGATGACCAGGGGAATTCGAACAAACATGAGGAAGAGAATAGGATCAGTTCCGGGGGTTGAGATTGGGGACATTTTCTTTTTCCGAATGGAATTGTGTATTGCAGGTTTGCATGCTCCCTCCATGGGTGGAATTGATGCCATGCATATCAGGGGTGAGTTTGAGGAGGAAACTCTGGCTGTGAGCATTGTTTCATCGGGAGAATATGATGATGATGCTGAGGATAGTGATGTTATAATTTATACTGGTCAGGGAGGGAACTTCTTCAAGAAAGATAAGCACACTATTGATCAGAAGCTTCATAGGGGTAATCTTGCTTTGGATAGGAGTTCGCGACAACACAATGAAGTGAGAGTCATCCGGGGCATGAGAGATGGTGCAAATCCAAATTCAAAGATCTATGTCTATGATGGTCTGTATAAAATCCAAGATTCATGGATAGAGAAAGCGAAAGGTGGCGGTGGTGTATTTAAGTATAAGTTGATTAGAACGCCAGGACAGCCTAGTGCTTTTTCTGTTTGGAAATCAGTTCAGAAGTGGAAATCTGGCTCCTCTGAAAGGACTGGTTTTATTCTTGCAGACATTTCTGCTGGAGCTGAGAGTATTCCTGTATCACTTGTCAATGAGGTTGATAATGTGAAGATGCCTACTCAGTTCAATTATTTCCATTCTCTTAGACATCCAAAATCGTTCAGTTTAATGAAGCCTTCACATGGGTGCGCCTGTACAAAAGCATGTGTCCCGGGTGATTTGAACTGCTCTTGCATTAGGAGAAATGAAGGTGATTTCCCATATACTGGCAGTGGCATTCTGGTGGGCCGGAAGCAATTGGTTCATGAATGTGGCCCCACATGTCAGTGTTTTCCTAACTGCAAAAACCGAGTATCCCAAACTGGTTTAAAGCACCACATGGAGGTGTTCAAAACAAAGAATAGAGGGTGGGGTCTTCGATCTCTGGATCCTATTCGTGCAGGTACTTTTATTTGTGAATATGCTGGAGAAGTTGTTGACAGAGCCAAGGTAAGTCAGCTTGTGAGGGAAGGAGATGAGTATATTTTTGATACAACCCGTATTTATGGTCAATTCAAGTGGAATTATGAGCCTAGGTTATTGGAAGAAATCGGCCCGAATGAAGACTCTAGTGAGGATTATGCCATGCCGTATCCTTTAATTATAAGTGCCAAGAATTTTGGGAATGTGGCTAGATTTATGAATCATAGCTGTTCCCCAACTGTTTTCTGGCAGCCTGTTGTATATGAAGAAAACAACCAATCCTACCTCCATGTTGCATTTTTTGCACTCAGACACATTCCGCCAATGACAGAGTTAACATATGATTATGGATTTGCCCGATCTGATCATGCTGAGGGTAGCAGTGCAGCGAAAGGGAGAAAGAAATGCTTATGTGGATCATCTAAATGCCGTGGTTCTTTTGGTTAATATTTGGTTAAAGTTGCTCAAGACCAGCATGGCACTGGCAATACATTCATGGCTTAAAAGGTTTTGAGATCTCTTTCATGTTTCAAACTTCCTAGTTATTCAGATTCAACTTTGTAATAAACGTATGTGCCTCTCTTTGTTGCTTTCTATATATCTTTTTCAAATTTACACTTTTTTTGTTTCTTTCAGGTTATCCTATAATTGATATAATATGTAAAAAAAATTTGCATACTCATTTCAAATGTATGTGATATTGGTTAGATATGTTAACTTCCAATTACAAATACACATGTTCTAGAACAGAAATGTTAAGGTGGAAGAAATGAAATTTAGTAATATACATATTCATGCATCATGTTTCATTGTCAATTTTTATTCCTCTTATTATTATTATTTATTTTTCTTTGGGTACTGATTCCTCTTATTTTCTGAAAGTATCATATAAGTACTAATTTCAAAGGTACTATGGAAGTATCAAAATTACCTAGTCTGTAATTTTGGTAGTGTTTCGTCATGCACTATCTCCAATTCAATTTTTTAGTCTGCTGCTCTGGGTTGTTGGTATGTTGGCATGTCCTAATTGACAAAATTAATTTGGCATCCAAGTTCATAATGCCTTGAATTCACTCCATTCAGGTGGTATTGGGTTCATTATATCATATTACATACATAGTAGATATGCTTATTGTTAGGACTTCAACAGATGAAGAGAATCTAATCCTAAAGATTAGTTTATTAGGTGGGAGACTCTCATGGACTAAGTACCACATTGAGCTTCTTATTATACTCAACATGGGATTTCTAACATTGTCACTCCTTTTAATAACTAATGTTTATGACGACTTTCATTCTATCGACATTGACTTGATGGTATCCCTTTTTCCTTTGACAACTTCACTCACCTATCAGAATTTTGTATTATACAATTCAGCCTTTAGATAGCCCTTTTTGTAGCTCAATTCACAATGAAAGCATCAATTGTTAGGACTTAAACAGTTGAAGAGAGCTCAACCCAAAAGACTAGTCTATTAGGTGGAACAGTCTTATGGCTTAAGTACCATATGGAGTTTCTTATTTTACTCAATGTGTGGTTTCTAACATTGCCACTCTTTTAGATGAAGATCATGATGATGGAGATGAGCCATGGGATCCAGCTTCCACAATTTCAGCCTCGAGGGCAAGGTTAAGTTTTAGGCCAGGTAGTATTGTTAGGACTATGGGAAAACGGGAATTAGTTAAGAAAGTTAGGATATTAGTTAGTTAGTTAGAGGAGTTTCTTAGATATAAAAAGGGAAGGATAGTAGTATGGAGGGGGATAGGTTGTCATTTTAAATTGAGCATTAGTTTTTTCGTAAAGGGAAACCCCTGGAGGAGAGATATTTCTCTTCTATTCCTTGTTCCTTTAATCCCATTCAATAAATCTTTCTTTCCTTTCTCATTTCAATTATTGGTTCGTAACACTTACAAAAAAATAATATACATAGTAGATGTTGATTAATAGTGTTATCATTGTTTCTTACTTTGTTTACAAGTGTAGTAATTGAAGTTCTCATTCTTCATCTCAAATTTTCAATTTTAATTTATGGAGCTTATCAAGATTTTTGGACGTGTTACTGAAGTATGATGGCAAATTGCACTCGTTCTGATTTTTTATTTATGGAACTTACATATTTGTTACCAAATGATAACACTTACATTATCTCACCCAGGAAAGCTAATTGTTATTTCCATCTTTCTTATTTTAACAGAGGGTGATCTTATGTCGTGCCAGATCCAGTTTAGAGGTTCAAGTTTAGTAGATGTATGGTTCAAAAAATCAAGTGTAAGTGTGATCGACTAGAAATAAATCATGCGACTTTCTGGACCTGGCCCTTTTTTGGTTCCAATTATATCATAAATAATCGGTGATCCTAAATTTTGTGTTTAACTTTAGTTGGGAATGGCCATGATGTACTAAAGAAGTATATAAACTAGTGATATCTTTTTCACATGTTTATCTCACATTTTCCCCTTGAGGTCGATATATTATCTTGCTATATATGAAGGTTAGCCTTTTGTTTTCTTTGGGCATGTTGGATTGTAGAAACTAGCAAATATGGTATGGAAATCATATTATATGCTAATTGCATTGGTCTGAACTCATCTTCATGGATCCTTCAACTTCAACTGCAGTAATCATGGCTCATGATTGAGTTCCGCTTATGTTGTTTATTAGTGTTTAGGCCTTAATATGTGCGCTTGATTATTGGCTTAGTGGTATTTGTATTTGAAAAGATTAAATATGTTTGTAGTTCTTTAATTTTTTTTTGTCGTTTTTTTTAAGTCTAAACAAATTTATTAGTTTTAGTTTTTGAATTTTTACCCATTTTTTATTTTAGTCTCTAAACTCTTTTTCCGTTAATATTGGCCATCTTCGTCTCAAGATTTTTTTCTGAGAAAAACTTTAGGGAATAAAAAAGAAAAATATTTTGGCTAAGGTTTGTCCTTCTTGACCTAGCTTTGGGTAATATTTATAAAAAAAAAAAGAAGGAGCAATTATCTCAAATAATTTCAGCCAAACATTTGCGGATATGGTTTTCCTTCACAATCTAGAAATTACCAAGCATAGTATTGAATAGGGAACAATACAATATACTCGAGCAACCAAACATGTGAAATGGATGCAAAAGAAGATTGTGTTCATCCTCGAATACTATAAAACGGGTTTCTTAAAGACTTAACATCTAAAAGCCTTCCCTGACCATGAAAAGAGCAATAGAGGCTAATGCTCTTTAAATTGATGTCGAAGTATTTGTCTTTGAAGCTATACCTTGTGTGAAGTTGATGTGTAAGGACTATTTTAAGACACATCGATTGCTCATGCTCATGCATAGAGTATTTGATTACTGCTCTATTTTCCTTGCATGGTCTTGGGTGGTTACAGAAGGCCCATAGAAACCATGGGGCCATACGGGTTTGAATTCGAATGGAAGATTCTATTTTCACCTTTTTTATTTATTTATTTTATTTTTTAACAATTTTAAAAAAAAAATTTAATCTTAAAAATAATTTCTTTTACATATTTTCCCTTTGAGTCAAACTTGGTTAGAATTGATAAGTTTTACAAATAAGAAAAAGTTGACACTCAAACAAAACTGAAATTGTTTGTACTTTATTCTTTTTATTTCAATTTTATCTATTTTGTGTGTGCGAGTATAAGTATATAGATTTGAATTGAGTTTGAATGCATTTGTTATTTGTTTCAATCAAAATTTAATGGGTTAGATTAGATTGGATTTATGCATTTTATTGTGAAATCTAACTCATTAAATCACAAACAAGTTGGATTAAGTTGAGTTAATTGGATCAATATAATAATTTTTTTATTAAAATATTTTCTTAGTGCATATAGTTTCATTTACTTTATCTTTTAGTTCTTATAGTTTAAAATAAATCATTTTAGTTCATGTACTTATCTTTTTCAATCATGCTTAGTTCCTATAGTTTAAGATAATTTTTTTAGTCTCCATACTTGTAGTTTTTTTTATTCCTTTTAGTCCATGTTGTTAATTTGTTTTGCAACGTTGTCTCTTTCGTGTTATCATGACAAAGGTATTAATTCAACTTTGTGTGTTTGTGTAGACACCTAATTTCGTCCGGACCCACAAACAAAGAAATGGACATCGAGCATGATGGAAAGGAGTTCTCAAAAGCCCAAAACAACACAGTATAACATCAAAAGGCCCAAAAACTCAACAAAGGTGATTTAGTAGCCTAGAATAGGTCGTTCCAAACTACTAAAAAAGCCTAGAAACCCTAGTTCGGAACGGGTTGTTCTTAGTCCAGAATGACCCGTTCTAACACAGGTTGTTATAAGTAAAATTCAAATCTAGAATGGCTGTTCTGGTTTCAGAATGGGCCATTCCATATTCAAATTTTACTCTTAATAGATTGGTCCAGAACGAGTCGTTTTGAAACTAGAACGGGCCGTTCTGGTCAGTTATGACGTTTATAAATAGTCGCGCCAGACACTGTTTAGGGAATAGCAAAAATTCATCTAGAAAACCCTAGATAGATAAAAAATTCTCTCTCTCTCTATCTCTTTGTATTTCTTGAGATTTGTGAGGCATTATGTAATGTGTAAGGTAGCCAAAAAGCGCCTAAAGGATCTCTACATTCAAAGATTCAATAAATCTCAACTAAGAGGTATTCTTATCAATATCCTTCTTCCTCCCTTACTTCCTTATTTTTAATAAATGCGTTTCTGAATAAAGAATAATCATGTAGACGTTGTAGGATAAATCATGTAATTTAAATTTCAAGCACGTAAATAACTATTTGTAAAAGGGAATTAATATTTAAAATATTATTTATTATTATGCTAACTTCGTCATAGGGTACCAATTTAGGGCGTTGTGGGGGTGCTTAATACCTTCTCTACATGTAACTGACCCCCAAACTCAATTCTGGCTATGAAGGCCTTTATTGGAATTTTAAAGATTTTTTTTTCAATGTTTTGAGTAAAAAATTGGTGGTGACTCCATGAACTTACTTTCAAAACCATTAATTAAGGATTAGTCTGTCTCCGAGCATTCCTTAATTAATAATATTTTTTTTTCAAAATGGTAGTCCAAACCATTGGTCGTAAGATCGAAATTTTTGGGGTTACGATAGTTTGATGTTGAATTTATTTTGGTGAAATTATCTTAAATTAGATCTCTTGATGTTCCATGTTTTTTGTATCCTTACATGCAAACTAAATGAGCCCAATCACAAGAAGAAAAACCTTTAGGTTGAGTCATATAAACTTTTTTCCTCTGGGTCACCATTTAGGAAAAATGCTTTCACATCCATTTGATAAAACTCTAAGTCAAAATGTGCAACTAATGCCATTATTATACGTAAAGAGTCTTTCATGGATACATGAGAAAAACTTTCTCTATAATCAACTCTTTCCTTTTGAGAGAATCCTTTGGCAACCAATTGGACTTTGTGTCTTTCAATGTTGCCTAATGAGTCCTTCTTGGTTTTAAAAATCCATCTACATCCAATAGGTTTTACTTAATTAGGCAACTCAACAAGATCACAAACTTCATTATTTGCCAAAGAATCCAATTCATCTTTCATAGCATCATATCACAAATTAGAATTACAACTATTATTTGTTTGTGAAAATGTTTCAAGATCATTCTCAACTCCAAAGTTATATTCAAACTCTTGTAAGTACACTTGATAATCACTAGGAACCGTTGATTTCCTCATTCTAGTTGACCTTATCAATGTTGCATCCAAAACTTCTAGAGAAGGTTCTTGTTCAACAGGTTGCTCAACATCTTGTATTGGATGTTGTTCAACTAAATATTCCAAAACAGGTTCAACTTGACGTGGAGCTTGAGTTACTTGATTTTGGTGAGCATTACCAAAAACTACTAGCTTAAAACTTGATGTAGGAACCATGTCTTCACATTGATCTTTCTCAAATCCAATGACTTTAGTTGAATCATTCCCACTATCCACATCATTCTCAAGAAACTTTACATTTCTTTATTCAAAAATTCTAGTGCTATGAATTAGACAATAAAATCTATGCCCCTTAGACTTTTCAACATAACTAATGAAATATGCACTAATGGTCCTTGTGTTTAACTTACTCTCATTTGGATTATAAATCCTAACTTCTATTGGGAAACCCCAAACATGCATATGTTTCAAGCTTAGTTTCCAACCTTTCATTAATTCAAAAGGGATTTTAGGGACCACTTTAGTTGAAACTGGATTTAATATGTACGTTGTTGTCTTAAGCGCTTCACTCCATAATGAATGAGGAAGTTTGGAATTGCTAAGCATACTCCTTACCATGTCTAATAAGGTTCGATTTCTTCTTTCTGTCACACCCTTTTGATCCAATGAGACAGGCATGATGTACTGAGCCATAATACAATGCTCTTGAAGAAATTTTGCAAAAAGACCAAGTGCTTGTTCATTTTTAGTGTATTTGTCGTAAAATCACCACCTCTATTTGACCTCACAATCTTTATTTGTTTTCAACATTATTATCTTCTGCCTTGAAAATTTTAAAGGCATCCAAAGCTTCATATTTATTATGAAGTAAGTAAAGATACATGTATCATGAGTAGTCATCTATAAAATAAATGAAATATTTTTGGCCATATGAGTCCATATCGGGACAACATATATCAATATGTATAATTTCTAATATTTTTTAACTTCTCTTGGCATTTTTCTTTGTCATGTTAGTTTGTTTCCCTTTTATGTAGTTCACACAAGTGTTAAAGTCAATAAAGTCAGTAAACTCAAGAGTCTCAAGTACTCCATCATCCACCAATTTTTTATTTCTTTCTATAGAGATATGCCCTAGCCTCTTATGCCACAATTTTGAGGACATTTCATTCATGATACAACATTTAATATTGATATTTTCTTATGTAGCTATCAAACTATAAGGAATCATATTAGATAAATTAATTTTGAATAAGTTGTAATTTAACACACAATTTCCAATAATAGTAGATTTAAACAATAAATCAAATTTGGATGTGTTAAAACTTATTGAATAATCCAAAGGAATAAGTCTCAACAAAAATTAAATTCCTGGAAAACTCAAGAATATAAAATATATTATTCAATTCAAAAATAAATATAGATCCTAAATTAAGTTTGTAAGTGGAAATAGCTACCACACTTGAATACATATCCGATTAATTGAATAAATGAATCGTTCACCTTTATTTGGCTCTTTTGTCTTGAGAAACCCTACACAGTATTAGAAATATGGATTGTAGATCTAAAGTCAATCCACCATAAATCATGACAAATATTAGCCATATTAGATACAAAACATACAAAAGAAAAAGAATTATCCTTCTTTCCAAGACAAACATTATATTTATAACCGCAATTCTTCACGAGCCCCTTCTTTTTATAGAAAAAGCACCTAGACTCCTTGATTTTTGCAATAATGGGAATGCATTTCTTCTTTTTGTTTTCCCTTTTCCCATTATTCTAAGTCATAGTAAGAGTATTTTCACTAATCTCTTGAGCAAGTCTCCCTTCCTTTTGAACACACAAGGTCAGAAGTTCATTGATTGACCACTTATCTTTATGTGTGTTGTATGATA